ACCCACTACAGGCTGCCTGCAGAAAAGTACAGGAGGAGGCGGAGACAAGACCGGTCACCCTGCACAAGGAGAGAGGGCAGCAGTGACCAGTCTTTATTACAGGAAGCTGCTGCATAGAGGGAAAGTCTCACACTGGATTACTGCACGGATCTAGAAGAAATACACAAATCACACCAAGATTCAAGAAGAATACACAGGAGTACAACTTTAAATTTTCTTCCACAGTGTGTGACTGTAATGTATCCTTTTTATTATTTTTATTATTATTTTTATACAGAATATATATAACACAAAAACGTATTTATTTACACATTTATTTTGCGCAGCACTTTACAATATAAAGTGACAGTACAGATGAAGTACAATTTAAGACAAGAGGGGCTAGGAGATCTCTGTTCGCGTAACATATATTAATCTTCAATAAAGTCTCAAATTTATTTCAGGTACTTATATAGCACCGGCAATTTATACAGCACTTTTACATATATATTGTACATTCACATCAGTCCCTAACCCTCAAGGGGTATACAATCTAAGGTCCCTAACTTACATTCATACATACACATATTAGGGCCAATTTAGACAGGAGCCAATTAACCTACCAGCATGTCTTGCATGTAGTGTGGGAGGAAGCTGGAGTACCGAGGAAACCCACGCAGGCACAGGGAGAATATGCAAACTCCAGGGAGGGGTGCCATGGTTGGGATTTGAACCAATGACCCTAGTACTGCCAGGTGGAAGTGGTAACCATTTAGCCACTGTGCTGTCCAAATCAGTTAAATCTGTGAGTTGGGGCAAAGTTCAAACCTTTCAAAAGCACAATCCACTCTTTTGAAGATACTTCTTTGAGAAGTTTAATCACAATGAATCTGTTTTCTTTTTTTCTTCCACATTTGACTCCAACTGATATTTCCTATTTCTATTCCTACAACTTCCTCTCTGTCACAGACTTGGAGCTGCAGGAGAAGCATTTCCCAGAGACCTCTGTGTTTTATTGTGTTTTTCAGTTATCCAGAAGGAGCTGGTCACTAGTTGACTTTTATGTCCATCCAGACTTCCATCTAGCCTGGGCACTCCATCAGCTCTTCACCAGGTTGTAGCTACATTCGTATGGAACTGGCTTGGGCCAGTAGGAATACCCACTAACTTTACTAGGAGTCACTTTGATGGCCCATTATCCTGTCACGTTGCTCATTTGGGGACTATGTTCTCCTTTTGGTGGGACATGGGGACTGGGGGTGTGTTACTAAGAGGAGCTTGGGTGGGAACTTCGGAAATGCAGCATCACATCTCACAAGGTTTGGTAACCACGGCTATGAAACCGTTGCCCAGCTTACTCTACGAACAGAAACCCGGCTACCTTTAACCAGTTGTCACTTCGGCCCCATCCATGGAACATGTTCCTTTTTGGACCATAGCATCTGGGTGTCCGGGGTTATCGAATGGTACCCTGGGATTGCTGCTGACCCTTGAGATTACCCCAAAAGAACTATGTATAATGTATTCCTATGTGGGCGCCAGACTGTCTGGGGTGGGCATTGTCTATGATAATGTGATTAGCTCTTACAGGCATACCTCGTTTTACAAACGCCTCAGTTAACGTAATTTTCGGTTTTGATGAATGAAAATCCATTGAAAATAATGCCTCGGTTTACTAATTTTTTGCACAAAATGAACAAATTAAATTGGTTTTCAATGCATTTACTAATTAATTTTTAATCATGCCCCTGTACAGTATTTATGCCTTTAAAGTGCACTTTATAAAGAGTTATGAACAGATAAAATACTTTTTTTTTCACTTTTTTCTGACCTCCAGAACGGATTAATTGGTTTTCAGTGCATTTACTAATTAATTTTTAATCATATCCCTGTACAGTATTTATGCCTTTAAAGTGCACTTTATAAAGAGTTTTTAACAGATAAAATACTTATTTTTTTCACTTTTTTCTGACCTCCGGAACGGATTAAATGGTTTTCAATACATTCCTATGGGAAACCGCGTTTCGGTTTACCAATTTTTTTGCAATACGAAACATCCCGCAGAATGCATTACATTCGTAAACCGAGATACGCCTGTATCTGATTTCTGTATAAATTCAGTGTGTTTCTCTAATAAAGCAATTCTTCATGCTTACTCCAAAAACTGGTGTTGTCTAGTACTTTGGAGTAGCTACAGCTATAGTCACTGGCCTCGTGTTCCAGAGCTTGGGAAGCAGTTTCTTGGTGGAGATTCCCAGTCGGGGTGTCAGGAGTCCGTCACACTCTCCTTAAACTTTTAAAATTTTGATTAAAGTTTTCATTTTAACAAGGTTTTCTGACTGTTAGTAGAGTCAAACTGACATTGGTTTTTGACCACAGTGAAACAGGATGGACATTTTTTCCTGAATAAGTTAAAGCATTTTTAGCCCAAAATTAAAAAACTTACCAGCAGCCCGATCCTCTTCTTCTCAGGTTTCCCACCAGCACTCCTGGCTCCTCCTCTTCTCTGGCTGCAAGCTGCTTCCTATCATGGCACACCTGTGGGCTCGATCCCGAGCAGCGCTTCCAGGGTTTATAGACAGACAATGTGGCTCACTCCCACCTTCATGTGTATAATTTGTAGATGCTATAACTTTCATGCAAACCAATTAATATACACTTATTGGGATTTTGTTTTTTATCAAAGACGTAGCAGAATATATTTTGGCTAAAATTTATGAAGAAATTTTATTTTTAATTTTTTTATTGGATTTGTTTTATAGCACAAAATACAACAATATTGTTTTTTTTTTTTCAAAAAATGTAATGTCTTTTTTATTTAAATTGCAAAAAATAAAAAACACAGTAGTGATCAAATACCAGCAAAAGAAAGCTCTATTTCTGTGAAAAAATGGTATAAATGTCATTTGGGTACAGCACTGCATGACTGCGCAATTACCAGTTAAAGTAGCGCAGTACCTTATAGCCAAAAAGGCCTGGTCATGAAGGGGGGATAAAATTTTCCAGCGCTAAAGTGTTTAAGGTAAAAAATATTTAGACTTTGGAACCACTTTGAAATTACTTTCATATGTAATTCAGCAAATCATTTCATGAGAATTTTCATTTGAATAATCGTATGAACACTTGTTCGAAGATCTACTAGTATAGCTTTAGGTTGGTTCATCTTGTTTTACCTCCCTGGCGGTATTCCCGAGTGTAGCTCAGGGTAAAGTTTCAGTACCAGAAGCGGTAACCACAAGCTACACTCAGGCTTACCATGCGGCGTTGCTCTGGGATTCCCTGCAGCGCTTACCTTGTCCTTCGCTCCCGCGATGCGTTCCCTGCAGCGTCCCCGACCATCTCCTCCGGCTGATGCCGGCATCCGTGTTCCGGTCCCTGCGAGTGTCGGGACGTACGGGGGCCGGAACCGGCGGCAAATTTAAAAATTTTAGAAACTGTCATTTTCTAATAAACAAATATGACATAGTAAAACATTACTGTTTCAAAGCATTTCACATACATTTTGTCCCGAGTGCTTTGTCCTGCGCCCTGCCTGCATTTTGTCTGTTCTTTCTGCCTGGAAACTTAGAAAAGTCCATGGCTTCCAAAAAGCGTCCCTTTAGGTCAAAATCGGTTTTAGATCAGCTAGAGAACAGCGATAGTAAATCAGAACCACTTGCAGAATTGAGTGATAATGATTCGTGGGGGAAATTCGTCATCAGACACTGAAAACGATTCTGCGACTTTGCTCAGTGATGTGCGAACTTGGCGCTCTATTTCAAATTTCAGTGTTTTCGGTTTGATTATATTATTGAATTAAATGTATTATTATTATATTATTATTTTTTATGATTATTTATTAACTTATAATTTATGATTTCGTGGTTCAAGTTTTATCATACCCGGGATGTTTAATAGACTCTTGTTCGGACAGATTTCAGTGAGTTATTCCTACAAATTACAGGCCTACAATATAAAACACCAAATTTCCATGCAAAATAATGGTACCGCTATTAGCGCCAAAATCTGAAATAATCATACCGCCAGGGAGGTTAATCAGCCAATGAGCAGGTCACAAATAAACTAATGTATTCTAATAGTGGGACTCATGTCAGGGCAGAACAGTGGCTAAATGGTTAGCACTTACGCCTGGCAGTACTAAGGTCATTGGTTTGAACCCCAACCATGGCACCATCTGCCTGAAGTTTTCATGTTGTTCCTGTGTGGGTTTCTTCTGGGTACTCCAATTTCCTCCCACTGTCAGGAATGGACTGGCCAACAATGGTGGGACTCACCTGCCTTTTGATCTGCAGTACCAGGGCTGGCCAGCGGATGCTCCCAGCAATCAGAGACTCAACTTTGCAGCCAGCTAACACCTGGAACTGATTATGCTGGGGTATTTAAGGGATGGCCAGACCCACAGACTCTGCCTTGGTGTTGTGTTTGTCCTGGGCCCTGTATCCTGTTTCTGTCCTGCATCCTGTTTCTGAACCGCTGCTGACTTCTCCTGCTCTGATCCCGGCTCGCTCCTGACCATCCCTCTGCCTGACCCTCTGTACCACGCTGCTTGCTACCTGTTCTGATCCCTGGCTTGTGACCCTGACCATCCCTCTGCCTGACCCTCTGTACTACGCTGCTTGCTACCTGCTGAACCTGGCCTGTGACCCCGACCAATCTCCGCTTGCTCCCCCTGTACCTACCTGCCCTATTGATATTGACCCGGCCTGCCTGACGACGCTTGCTTGTATGTACTGTTATCTGTGGGTGGTTGGTTTGGTTTGGTTGCACTGTATTATGTTTAGTATTGCACTGCGTTTATGTTTGTATTGTTAGTGTTAATAAATTATATTGTTTCTAACATATCTGAGGTCTGCGTTTCCCTGCGTCAGCCACACACCTCTGGTCACACCTGGGAGCCCTGACACCCACACTCCAAAGGCATGCTGGGTAGTTTAACTGGATCCTGTCTAAATTGGCCCTAGTATGTGTATGAATGTAAGTTAGGGACCTAGACTGTACACCTCTAAAGGGTTAGGGACTGATGTGAATGTACAATCAGGGGCGGACTGACCATTTGGAAACTCGGGAACTGCCTGAGGGCCCGGGGTCAGTAGGGGGCCCCATGAGATGCCCCTGGTACCTTTTTTCATAGGTTTTTTTGAGTTTGGGCAAGGACACAGGGGCCCCATGATCCCCTATTGCCTGGGGGCCCCATGAGTTGTCAGTCCGCCCCTGTGTACAATATATATGTAAAGCGCTGCGTAAATTGATGGCGCTATATAAGTACCTGTAGTAAATAAATAAGCAGCTGGAGCCGATTGGCCACAAGCACAAAAGTTTTCCAAAAGTCCCTTTCCATAGAAGTCAATCGTTAGATGGACTTCTGTGGAGCAGGAACGGCCATAGATCAATCGAAATTTGGTCAGTCCCTGCTGAAGCACCTATTTTTCAATCCATCTATGGGCAGCTTTACTCTTGACTTTTTTTTGACACTTGTTTTTTGCACATTTTGTTGATTTGAATAATCCACTTTCCTTTTATATTTCTGATCAGCTGTCTATCTTACGTGATCAGTCGCAACCTCTATAGAATACACTAAAGTTTCAGGTTTCTTCTTCTATATCAGCGTAAGTCACGTTTATTCCACTTCACTGGAGTCAAACTGTCTCATATAATCAACTTGTTCCCTTGTACATTTCTTTTATTCACAAATCTCCTGTAATTCCTCCATTTCCTGAAATGCCATTTTGCATTCAAATACTCATCTCCTATCCCTCAGAAGCTTAGAGTGTTTTGTCCGTTTTTTTTCTTCTTCCAACTCATTCAAGGAATCAATGAATTTCTTGTCCAATTGTCCTAACCTCTGTGTCCCTTTACATTTCCACAGTCCGGATTGGACCCCTTTGATCTCAGTATGTAAATGTTACTGGTACTTTGCCTGTTGTGAGCACTCATTCAAGAGGCTTGCTGAATTGGGTAAATCATTCATTATAAGGAGCTGAAATCTTTACCTTTATGGAGAACATGCTGGTTTAGGCTTCCTCCAGTACTGGTTACATAACCAAATCAAAGACTTGATGGGTATCTCTAGTTTTTTACCTAATTATTATGTTTTGTAATATTAATATTTTTTATTTATTCTTAATCAAGTAAATTTGGAATATTACAAATATTTAAAATGTGTATTTCATTTTTTTAACCACTTGCAGCCAGCAGACAGTCAGCAGATATGTGTATATAATATTTGCATTTCATTTTTACCACTTGCAGCCAGCAGAGGGAGCCTAAAGAAGAATTATCACATTTTTACAATATTCATTGCCGATGGGACAGATTACTTTGTCCCAAATTCCTAGATGACTTGTAAAGCTAATTGAGATGTTGAACAGGGCACTCCCCTTGGCGCAGGACTGCTCAACACGACAGCTAGAAGGAGATGGCTGCTTTGCTAGCAAGAGCCTGTCTCTGGCATCTAGCTGTGGTGTTGGGCAGCTATATGCCAAAGGGGGGGTGCCCTGTCCAACATCACAATTAGTGTTACAGGGCACCTAGGAATATGGCAGTAATGAAAAGCAATACTTTTTCTTAAGGCTGCATTCATACTTGGTGATTTGGAATTGCCCACAGAATCAGCACAATTCTTTTTTTTTAATCATATTTTTATTAATTTTACATTATAAATCCAACAAATAATTCACATATTACAATCGCACATTTTCCAAATCTATATTTTTCAAATATATTCTTCAGATTTTTTTTACATATAAAAAAGTAATTTTAACATAGATTTTTAAATATATTTGTAAATGCATTCCAAAAATGTAGATTTGTATTTGTAAAGACATACAGTATATTTTTCATGTATTTTAAAAAATATTTTTCATGTATTTTGTAATAAAAATGAATTTCAACATGCAGTGTATATATATATATATATAAAATATATTTTGAAATATATTGAATATGGTCAAAATTATACTATTTCAAATATATGGCAATATATTTGGGATATTTGGGGAAAATATTTTTAAAATATATTTCAATCTTCCATCCGCCCTAAACCTTCCTCTTTCATTCCCTACCTAACAATAATAATAATAAAAAAAAAAAAAAAACCATCAATCTTTCCCTTATTTTTTCCCTACTTCGCAACTCCACATCTCCGCAAAATGCGTGATGCGTGCTTGGTTGCCTTTATTCTTAATAGCATCCCAAATGGTGTGCAACTTGAAACATGTATTAAAAAATTGCACTAAGCTTGTCGCCCAAAAAGCAGCAGGAGCTTCTCTTGGACAACAAACAGGCTTAGGACAGCCCATCAAAGTGAATGGGCTGCCCAATGCAGGACACGCAAAATTACATGAAAATAGCTTTTACAAAATTGTGAACGGGAATGCTCGTTCCTGCTACGTGACATATGAATGGGGCCTGAAGGATTATCGCTTGAGAAGTATCTTTTTTAAGGTAGTTGTTTTAAAAATTGACCTGAATGATTTCCCATACCACCAGAGATGATGCAACCCCCCCCCCCCCATGCTACCAAAGATGTTGGGCAGCACAGTGGCTAAATGGTTGGCACTTCCGCCTGGCAGTACTAGGGTTGTTGCTTTAAATCCCAGCCATGGCACCACCTGGCTGGAGTTTGCGTGTTCTTCCTGTGCCTGCGTGGGTTTCCTCCGGGTACTCCGGTTTTCTCCCACTCTTCAAAGATATGCTGGTAGGGGAATTGGCTCCTGTCTAAATTGGCCCTAGTATGTATATGTATGAATGTAAGTTAGGGACCTTAGATTGTACGCCCTTTGAGGGTTAGGGACTGATGTGAATGTACAATATATATGTAAAGCGCTGCGTAAATTGACGGCGCTATAGAAGTACCTGTATTAAATATTAAATTAAATGCTGCTGATCCTAGGCTTAAAGTATAACTAAAAACAAAACTTTTTTTTTTTTAGTTTTGGAAAGAGTGAGAGGGATTAGAACCCCTGTCAGTTTTTATTGCAGTCTGTGCCCCCATTAAGGAGATTCACCCTCTTTGTCCTGTTTACCATTATCATTGAAAGTGAAAGTAAAAGAAAATCCCAAATTTTGGGTGGTCCTCAGAAAAGTAATAAAGTGGAAATCATCCCATAGGTAGACTAGTTTTGGTGACCTGGGGGGGGGGGGGGGGGGGTCCCAAAGGGTTCCCTTAATTTGCAGGGATTTCCTCTCACTTCGCCACTGGGACAAGAAGTGAAGGGAAATCTCCGCAATGGGACACAGATGGTGAAAGAAAAATCTGACAGGGGTTATAACCCTCCTTTACTGTAAGCAAAATGGGGAAAAAGTTCTGCTTTAACTGGGGCTTTTCCCCCACTGTGGAGCGATTTGCTTGTTGCTATGAGACAGAAAGTGAAGGAAAGTCTCTGCGCCAAAACGCGGAACACACTTTTGGGTGCTATCCATTCTTAACGGCACCCAAACATACTATAAAACAGGCGTGTCATGCAAAAAAGTAAAAAAAATGCATCAAAATCAGCTCTAAAAAGGATACAGGAGCTAATTTGTCACACACCAGCCCCTTTATTAGGTACACTTTGCTAGTGCAAGAAAAAATCTCCCCCACACCATGACACCACCACCACCAGCCTGACCCATTGATACAAGGCAGGATGGATCCATTATTTCATATTGTGTACGCCAAATTCTGACCCTACCATCTGAATGTCGCAGCAACCAGTCTGCCCATTCTCCTCTGACCTCTGACATCAACAAGACATTTTCATCCACACAACTGCCGCTCGCTGGATATTTTCTCTTTTCCGGACCATTCTCTGTAAACCCCAGAGATGGCTGAGTGTGAAAATCCCAGTACATCAGCAGTTTTTAAATACTCAGGCCAGCCCGTCTGGCACCAACAACCATGCCACGTTCAAAGTCACTTAAATCCCCTTTCTTCCCCATTCTGATGATCAGTTTGAACTTCAGCAAGTTATCTTCATCACGTCTAGATGCCTAAATGCATTGAGTTGCTGCCATGTGATTGGCTGATTAACAATTTGTATTACCAAGCAATTGAACAGGTGTACCTAATAAAGTGGTTGTTGAGTGTAGAGCAGCCCATTGAAATGAATGAGCTGCTCTACACTGACACACAAAAAAAGTACACAAAAAAAGCGATGCATTGCATCACTCGGATGTGAATGGGGCCTAAAAGTAATGCCAGGCTTTTTTATTAGAAAGCCCTGAATGTTTTTCAAACAATGTCATTGATGCAACCTGTATTAAATATTTATTAGTACAATAAAAACCACATACAAGTAATTAAACATATAAAAACAATTTATAAACTTAAAGTGTTACTAAACCCTCAACAGTAAAATCAGTCTGTATATTATTATTATACAGTATTTATATAGCGCCAAAAAGTTTGCTCAGCGCTGTACATTATAGTGGGGGACAATACATGAGACAATACAGTAACAATACAATACATGAGGGGTTCGAGGGCCCTGCTCCTTGAAGCTTACAATCTAGGAGGGAGGGGATAGTGGTACAGGAGGAAATGACTGTGGGGGATGGAGTGGTAGGAGGAGTGGAAGAGATCGGCTGTTAGGTGAGGGCGGGGTAGGCTTCCCTGAAGAGATGGGTTTTCAGGGTGCGCCTAAAGGTGAGGAGGGTAGGTGACAGTCTGATGGATTGGGGTAGTGAGTTCCAGAGGATGGGGGAAGACCTGGAGAAGTCCTGGAGTCGGGCATGGGAGGAGGAGACCAGGGAACTGGAGAGTAGAAGGTCTTGTGAGGAGCGAAGAGTGTGTGTTGGGTGGTATTTGGATATCAGGTCGGTGAGGTAGTTTGGGGCAGAATTATGAATAGCTTTGTACATATATACAGTAAAGCATGCTTGTTATACTCACTGTGGAACCTAAGGGGTTAATCCTCTGCATTGTGTAAAAAGGCCCTTTGATCATGGCTTCTCTCTTCCTCCCCTTTTTCAAGCAACCACCTCTTATCTCCTGATAAGACAGACCATGGGCGGACTGACACCTCATGGGGCCCTCGGGAAATAGGGGATCATGGGGCCCCTGTGTCCTTGCCCACACTTAAACCACACCCAAAAAGACTATGAACGGTACCAGGGGCATCTCATGGGGCCCCCTACTGACCCTGGGCCCTCGGGCAGTGCCTGACTTCCCAAATGGTCAGTCCGCCCCTGAGACAGACTAAACTGTAGGCATTTGCACATGCTCAGTTTGGTGTTTATTTCTAGAGAGGGGTTTTTTTTCTTGGGAGAGTGCATGTGATCAGCACAGGGCCAGTCAGCATTGTTCAGACAGAGGGTCAGGGGTTTTGCATCCTCCTAGAGCAGAAAGAAAACCCCTCCTGCAAGCTTTAGCTAGTGCTCTGCTGAACACTGATAGAAGTCACAAGACTGCTCTAACTGCTGATGAGAAAAGGTATTTAGCAGTTTATATTTACTAAAATAATTGCGTTTCCATTTTCTGTGTACTGCGGGAGATCAGATATAGTGAAGTCAGGGTCCTGGGAGACCGGATATAGTGAATGCAGGGTCCGGGGGGACCAGATATAGTGAATGCAGGGTCCGGGGAGATCAGATATAGTGAATGCAGCGTCCGGGGAGACCGGATATAGTGCATGCAGGGTCCGGGGAGACCAGATATAGTGAATGCAGGGTCTGGGGAGACCAGATATAGTGAATGCAGGGTCCTGGGAGACCGGATATAGTGAATGCAGGGTCCAGGGAGATCAGAATGCAGCATCCAGGGAGACCAGATATAGTGAATGCAGGGTCCGGGGAGATCAGATATAGTGAATGCAGCGTCCGGGGAGACCAGATATAGTGAATGCAGGGTCCGGGGAGACCAGATATAGTGAATGCAGGGTCCTGGGAGACCGATATAGTGAATGCCGAATCTGGGGAGACCGGATATAGTGAATGCAGGGTCCTGGGAGACCGGATATAGTGAATGCAGGGTCCAGGGAGATCAGAATGCAGCATCCAGGGAGACCAGATATAGCGAATGCAGGGTTCGGAGAGACCAGATATAGTGAATGCAGGGTCCGGGGAGATCAGATATAGTGAATGCAGCATCCGGGGAGACCAGATATAGTGAATGCAGGGTCCGGGGAGACCAGATATAGTGAATGCAGGGTCCGGGGAGACCAGATATAGTGAATGCAGGGTCCGGGGAGACCAGATATAGTGAATGCAGGGTCCGCGGAGACCAGATATAGTGAATGCAGGGTCCGGGGAGACCGGATATAGTGAATGCAGGGTCCTGGGAGACCGGATATAGTGAATGCAGGGTCTGGGGAGACCAGATATAGTGAATGCAGCGTCCAGGGAGACCAGATATAGTGAATGCAGGGTCCGGGGAGACCAGATATAGCGAATGCAGGGTCCGGGGAGACCAGATATAGCGAATGCAGGGTTCGGAGAGACCAGATATAGTGAATGCAGGGTCCTGGGAGACCAGATATAGCGAATGCAGGGTCCGGGGAGACCAGATATAGTGAATGCAGGGTCCTGGGAGACCAGATATAGCGAATGCAGGGTCCGGGGAGACCAGATATAGAGAATGCAGGGTCCGGGGAGGCCAGATATAGTAAATGCAGGGTCCGGGGAGACCAGATATAGGGAATGCAGGGTCCGGGGAGACCAGATATAGTGAATGCGGGGTCCAGGGAGACCAGATATAGTGAATGCAGGGTCCTTGGAGACCAGATATAGTGAATGCAGGGTCCGGGGAGACCAGATATAGCGAATGCAGGGTCCTGGGAGACCGGATATAGTGAATGCCGGATCCGGGGAGACCAGATATAGTGAATGCAGGGTCCGGGGAGACCAGATATAGTGAATGCAGGGTCCTGGGAGACCAGATATAGTGAATGCAGGGTCCGGGGAGACCAGATATAGTGAATGCAGGGTCCTGGGAGACCAGATATAGTGAATGCAGGGTTCTGGGAGACCAGATATAGTAAATGCAGGGGCCTAGATTTAGTAAGACTTTAAAAAAAGTAAAAACAACATTTTTTAGGTCCATTTTAATCATAGTCATAACAGAGCGTGTGATTTATCTTGGAGGGCAGTACTGTCTGACTGCTAATAATTCATACAGACATCAATAGCATTTTGCTGGTAATATTACACCAAAGCTTCATTTTTATTATTTAATATCCTCTATTAATTTTTAATAAATCAGTTTGCATACTGAAGTATTGGTTTAGGACGGCACAGATCTCCTTTGAGGACTTGTCTTTCTACGTATACAGGGGGTTCCTAGAAATATTCTGCTATACGTTCCAGACATCTGAGTGGGATTTTAACATTTGCGTATAACTGCTTAGATGCTTAGACGGCATTTTGCTGTTTTGTGGATGACATGCTAAACACACATTACATGATTTGTGATTCTAGAAATAGAATCAGAGAAGAAAAAAACAAGAACAGCAAAATTCATTTTGGTGTGTCTTAATTGTTAGCAGTTATCTAATCCTGATTGCACATCCAGATGTTGGATGTTCAGGATTAGCTGATGATCACAGTCCTGATCAGGAGCTGCCTAAGGTATGGTGGCCTAGATACAGCACAGCATCAGCAATATCATTTTACAATGCACTCTCCAGATACCATTTTCCTTTCAACTGCGTGTTACATTGTCTAAGCCATTGTGTCATGATGATGGTCAGAATTAAAAGGACCATATTAAAGAGGATGCAGATCAAGATTCAATGAAGAATTCCAGATATAGACATTTTATACATAGTTACTTTACATTACTATACCTGGCCAATGGAAGAGGTGTAGAGTGTTACATCACTGCCCCGCCTCTCCACCTTGTCCAATCAGTGAATCAGCTGGAAGCTGGAAATCACTGTAGTACGTACCAATACTCCACTGATCTCCACTTGCTTGCGATTCCCACTCCAAGCAGCTGCCTTGCTGCATTCTGAACATAGGAGTTGGCCACTTGGTACGAGCGGACAGACCATTTGGAAACTCGGGCACTGCCCGGACCCCGGACCCTGCATTCACTATATCTGGTCTCCGCAGACCCTGCATTCACTATATCTGGTCTCCCCGGACCCTGCATTCACTACATCTGGTCTCCCAGGACCTGCATTCACTATATCTGGTCTCCCAGGACCCTGCATTCACTATATCTGGTCTCCCCGGACCCTGCATTCACTACATCTGGTCTCCCCGGACCCTGCATTCACTATATCTGTTCTCCCCAGACCCCTTTTATTCACTATATCTGGTCTCCCACAGTACACAGAAAATGGAAATGCAATTATTTTAGTAAATATAAACTGCTAAATACCTTTTCTCATCAGCAGTTAGAGCAGTCTTGTGACTTCTATCAGTGTTCAGCAGAGCACTAACTAAAGCTTGCAGGAGGAGTTTTCTTTCAGCTCCAGGATAATGCAAAACCCCTGACCCTCTGTCTGAACAATGCTGACTGGCCCTGTGCTGATCACATGCACTCTCCCAAGAAAAAAAACGCTCTCTAGAAATAAACACCAAACTGAGCATGTGCAAATGCCTACAGTTTAGTCTGTCTCAGGGGCGGACTGACCATTTGGGAAGTCAGGCACTGCCTGAGGGCCCAGGGTCAGTAGGGGGCCCCATGAGATACCCCTGGTACCTTTTTCATAGGTTTTTTTGAGTTTGGGCAAGGACACAGGGGCCCCAGATCCCCTATTGCTCGGGGGCCCCATGAGCTTTCAGTCCGCTCCTGGGTACGTGCACCATTCAGAGAATGCTTTGCATCTTCTTAACCGCTTTCCTGCCGCACTATAGCAGATATACTGCAATTGGGCGGCAGGGGTGTGCAAAATCATGTATATATACGTGATTTTGCACTTCTGGGCAGGAGACGCGCACGCCCTTCCTGCGCTGCTATTCGCGGCCTCGGCTGTTAATCAGTGGGTACCAGCCGGTGATTACTCGCATGCACCTGGTGATCGAGGAACATTACCGACAGAGAGAGAGAGAGACCTGTAAATAAACAATACAGTTCTCTCCCCTGCCGGCTTCTGCGCACTGCTATGTAGTGGTGTATTTAGGTTTTGTGCTGCCCTAGGCAACACAAAAATTAGTGCCCCCCCCCTCAGAGAGAGCCTGACATTGGCCAACAACATCCCTGACTCCCACCAGAGAGAGCCTTCCACTACCACTGCCCCCCATACACCAGCCACCACCCCCCATGGCGAGAGAGCAAAAGACACTCACCTTCACAGCTCCAGACATCCCCGGGAACAAGAGTCGGGCTCTGCATACACCATCATGATACCCGCAACCTCTCTCGGAACCCACCAGGTCCCCATGCCTCGTGTGTCCCTTCTTCCATCGAATTCTTCCGAGGGGCAGTGCTGCCCCTCCTGAAAAATGCCCCCTAGGCAAATGCCTTGTGGTAAATACACCCTTGCTGCTATGCATGGCTTTAGATATCAGAGCCATGCAAAGCAGTGTGCTTACAGTGAAGCACACACACAGAGCACACAGTTAACCCTTTGATAGCCTCAGGTTAACCCCTTCCCGCCCAGTGCCATTAGTACAGTGTCAGTGCTTTTTATTAGCACTGATCACTGTATTGGTGTCACTGGGGATGTCAATGACAACAAGTCAGTTCCCCCCAGTGTCAGAATGCCTGCAGTCCTGCTATAAGTTGCTGATTGCCACCATTTCTAGTAAAAATTAAACATTAAAAAAAAAAAATCCCAGTATCTATACTGCCATTTGAAAACGCTATAACTTTCACGTAAACCAATTAATTTACAGGTATTGGGATTTTTTTTAGCAAAGACATGGAGCAGAATACATTTTGGCCTAAATTTATGACGAAATTTGTTTTTTTTTTTAATTTTTACTAGACATGTTTAATAGCAAAAAGTAAAAAAATAATGCTTTTTTCTCAAAATTGTTGGCCTTTTTTTTTTATAGCGCAAAAAATAAAAAGTGCTCAGGCAATCAAATACCAGAGAAAGGAAGCTCTATTCGTGGGGGAAAAAGGACGTAAATTTCATTTGGGTGCAGCATTGCATGACCGCGCATTTGTCAGTTAAAGTATTGCAGTGTCCTAACACACAAAATGGCCTGGTCAGGAGGGGGGGGGGGGGGGGAATCCTCGGGAGGGCAAGTGAATGCAAAGCGTTCTCTGATTTGAAGAGGTGTAGAGTGTTACATTACTGCCTCGCCTCTCCACCTTCTCCAATCAGAGAACGCTTTGCAATGAATCAGGCCGGCCACTCAGCACAGGACCCAAAAACAAGTGGAGATCACTGGAGTAACGATGTCTGCTTCAGTGATTTCCTGCTTCCAGGGGCTTCCAGGGGCATTGGCCAGGTATGGTATATACATAGTTACATTGTTCCAAGTTGGGCCAGTGTAACCTAGTAAAAATATCCATACCTGGCATTCTTTAAAGAACCTGAAAATACGGTACATAAAAAATACCTGTTGAAGTGCTGAAGTTGTGGACTGAGTGGGGTCAGCCCTCCAAGTTGTCTCTTGCTAAGCTACTGAACCACTTTTCGGTAGGGCAGGGGGTAGCTGGTGATGGGCTTTCTTTCATGTTCCCCATTAACTCACTGGGCGCCAAGTGTGGGTCACATGCAAGGACTACCTCTGGGGTGGGTTTTTCTGGGCTACGCTAGGCACCTGTAACAGGATCACTTCACACACATGGGGTACATTTACTCTTGTGCCATTTTCACCAATGCCAGGGGACAAGGCTGAGGCCGCCGTGGGAGAATACTTAAAGTGGAGCTCCACCCAAAAGGGGAAGTTCTGCTTTAATCCTTTGTCCCCCCCGCTCCCCATAAAGGATTGGCACCTTTGGGGAGCGGGTACCCAAATTTCACAGGTACCCGCTCCCAGGTCCGCTGTGATCGCCTAAGGCGATCAGAAGCGGAAGTTGTCCTCCCTCCCTCCTTATATGAAAATTTAAAAAAAAAATACATTGCAAATATACTGTATGTCTTTAAAAATACAAATCTACATTTTTTGGAATGCATTTACAACTATATGCAAAAATATATGTTAAAATTACTTTTTTTATATGTTACAAAAAATCTGAAAAATCTGAATATATTTAAAAAAAATATATATATATTTATTTTTTAAATATATATTTTTTAAATATACTCTTCGGATTTTTTTTAACATATATAAAAGTCATTTTAACAGAAATGTTTACATATATTTGTAAATGCATTCCAAAAGTGTAGATTTGTATTTTTAAAGACAGTATATTTGAAATGAATTTTTAAAAATATTTTTCATATATTTTGTAATAAAAACGCATTTCAACATGCAGTATGTGTATATATATATATATATTGAAATATATTTTGAAATATATTGAAAATGGCCAAAATTGTAGCATTTCAAATATATGACAATATATTTGGGAAGAATATTTTAAAAATATATTTCAGAGACCGTTTGTCCCTCTTCGGGGGGTGCGGGATCGTATGACCACTATGATGCTCAACGAACAGATGTCGAGTATCTGCAACGACTCCTTAACGTACATTTTTGAAAATATGGGAGCCGTGGTTGCAATGTGCCTTTCCCTCACTCCCCCCGGCTAGTCTGGGGATGTACTGGCGTTCGGTATTGGTGCTCTTGGACCCCTGCTCCTTGTCCCCCCCCCCCTTTTTTTTTTTTTCTTTCCTCTTTCTTCCTTTTTCTCTCTCTCTCTGTTTTTGGTGTGACTGGACAGCTGAATTTAGTTGTTATAGGCAGTTTATGTGCCATTGATAGCTCCTGCGTGGGCGTACCTTTTGCCCTGTTGGCGTTAGAGCACCGTTTTTTCCTTTTTTTTATTTTGCATTTTTTTTTATCTGTGCAATTGATAGCCCCTGCGTGGGCGTGTTTTATTGCCTTTGCTTTATATTGTTTAAAAAATTTATAAAAACCATTGAAATAGAAAAATATATTTCAAATATATTTTTCTTCCATGTGGGACGCTACTGGCAGGCTGCCTTAACTGGCTGTAAATGGCAAACACGTGTAGCACTGCCCCCCCTCCCCATGGCAGAAGTGCAAAATCACATTTATGTATGTGATCTTGCACAGAACGTCCGCCCTGTGGCAGTAAATCTGCTATAGGGCGGACGGCGAGTAGTTAAAGTCGCACATAGAATGGTACATATGAACACTGATATTTGGGTAATTAATGCAGCATAAACAGAGCTGACTCTAATCTGCAACAAAGCCACAACTGCTCATAATCAAGTCCTGCTTTTCTCTGGAGACTCCATAAATTAATTCATCAAGCATTACGTTCCCCTAATTCAGACAACACGGATTCTAATTGTTGTTTTGGAAATATTCATTATTTCAAATTGTCACTTTCCATATTGCATTAAAATTCGTCTCAATCTTGTTGCTGCTCACATCTATTGTTGCCAAATACAATTAACAGATTATAATGAATTAGCAATTTATTAGAAAGAGGCAACATATAAACATGAGGCAAGGTGAGATTTTTGTCTTTTTTCAGCACTTTGGTCTTTAGGGGGGATATTGTTAATGCAGCCAATGGAACGAATTAACTACCTGCCAGGATCCCCATTTAATGAATTAGTGCAAGCAAGGCTAAGTTTACATTATGAGAACCACCCTCAGAGCCAATCATATATACACACATTGAGGCAAGGTGAGGAAAATTTTTGTGCACTTTGCAGTGCAGTTGCACTCATTTTCCCCAGAGTCTTTAAATGTGGTATAAGTGGCATCAACCAATCACAAACACAGGCGTTTTTTTTTTTAATTTCCTTGACCCGTTAGAATTCTCTGGCAGGGGTGGACTGACCATGGAAACTCGGGCACTACCCGGGGTCAGTAGGGGGCCATGGATGCCCCTGGTACCTTTTGCATAGGAATGACCTTGAGTTTGGGCAAGGACACAGAGTGTTACATGGTCATGAGTACCCCTATTGCCCGGGGGCCATGAGTTGTCAGAAGCCTCTCCTGTACAATTTTGATTACCAGGTTGGTTTTTTAAATGGAACAATGCAATTTGAAGGCTGTTGACTTTGCATTGCAATGCAATCTCATCTTTTATATGTTACCAAACATAAGGTTAGTAAATGTGGTAAAAGCACTCCACTGAATTCCATCACCAGTCACAAACAAGGGTGCTTGTTCAAAAGGGGGATTTTTTTATTTTCCCAGGTTGCACGTCCGTCAGATTGGGTAGTGGTATGCGCCAAGGGCTCCCACGGGAAAGAGTCATATGGGGGTCGGAAGACCCCATTGGATGGAACTGGGCATTGGTCAGAGGGCCGGGTCGGTAACAGAGAGGGGCCCCATGGCAGTGGGCATAGAATGGTCGGGTCACACGCCAGGTAGCAACAGCAGGTTTCCATAGGGGGCATTTTTTGAGTTCAGGCAAAGCAAGGGTCAGAATAGGGAGAACAGCCCATGATCAGGTATGCAATCCGGGGCCTTACAGGGTACAGGTTCGCAGAATCACAGTCCGCCCAGAAGCACTGTGACACTCAGGGCCATTTTGATTACCACCCTGAGCTTGCCATTGGTTGCCGTTTCATGCGGCTTCTGCAATTCGAAGCCGCGGCCGTTGCCCGGACCTATTTGCCCTGCACAGGGCGGTGCAATCTGGACATCGCGGCGGGGATCGACCAATCCCTGACATAAAGGTATAATGTTCGGGTCTGTGCTCTCCGAAAATGTATAATGTTGGGGGGGTTTAACTAATCTTCACACATCAAAATGTGTAGTGTACCTGTGTGCAAAATGGCTCTGGCAGCGAAAGAAAAAGCAAAATTCAGCACTTGACAATAAATTATTGTAAAGTGTCATTAAAACCACATCAATTATCAATAAATGCTGTATTCCATGCTGTTCATACACACTCAGTCTCCATGGGATTAGTTTTCTTTATTCTGCAAAAAACCTGGTTGATCCTGCTGTTCTCTGTCTCCCCCTTCTGTCCATGTTCCCACTGCAGTTGGGGATTTTGTAGAGCAGTGTTGGCAGCTACTGCACATGCTCAGTTTTCAGTCTATTTTCTACCTTGAGCATTTCTTCCCTATTACATCTGAGCAGCCCAAGTGACTACAGAGTAACACATGGGTGTGTACACATTGGTAAATGACATGCAACTCCCCTCCCCTCCTCCTTCATGCCCACTAACCACCTAAACACAATGGGGGGGGATATTACATCTTGATTGATGGAGGTTTCACCACTCCCTGTTATTCTAAGACCAGCGGTTCTCAACCTGTGGGTCGCGACCCCCCCTTGGGGGTCGAACAACCCTTTCACAGGGGTCTCCTAAGACCATCAAAAAACACATATTTCCGATGGTCTTAGGAACCGAGACACCGCTCCTCTATCAGTCTCCAGGCGGGTCCGTCCCACATGCAGATACGTCCACATTTCCCTGGACGCGATGTGTGCGCGGGATGACATGCCGCGCCTGTCATCTGACCACATCCCCGGGATCACTCAACAGCTCCGCCTCCTCGCCAGTGATTGGCTGCCGGAACTGTAGCTCAGGAGAAGCACACAGGCGGCCAATCACCGGCAAGGAGGAGGAGCCGAGCAGCAGCGCGAAGATCAAAGAAGATCGAGCAAGGGAGCGGCCGGAGAAGGAAGACAGCCTACAGGTAAGTGTCTGTAGCGTGCAGATGGTGCTGCTGGAGCCAGGTATGCTGTCTGTAGATGGGAGAGGGAGGGAGCAAGCCCAGGCTGTAGCAGGAGTCAGCAAAGGTAAGTATCATTGGTGTCAGTGGGAGGAATAGTGCCCCATCATTGGTGTCACTAATACCAATGATGGGGCACTATTCCTCCCACTGACACCAATGATGGGGCACTATTTCCCCCCCCCCCCCACTGACACCAACGATGGGGAACTATTCCTCCCCCCACTGACACCAACGATGGGCACTATTCCTCCCCCCACTGACACCAACGATGGGGCACTATTCCTCCCCCCAACTATTCCTCCCCCACTGACACCAACGATGGGGCACTACCCCCCCACTAACACCAATGATGGGGCACAATTCCCCCCACACTAGTATCAGTGATGGGGCACTATTCCCCCCACTGACACCAATGATGGGGCACTATTCCTCACACACTGACACCAATGATGGGACACTATTCCTCCCACTGACACCAATGATGGGACACTATTCCTCCCACTGATGCCAACGATGGGACACTATTCCTCCCATTGACATCAGTGATGGGGCACTACTCCTCTCTCTGACACCAATGATGTGGTACTACTCCTCCCACTGCAAAATTACAGTTATGAAGTAGCAACAAAAATAATTTTATGGTTGGGGGTCACCACAACATGAGGAACTATATTAAAGGGTCGCGGCATTAGGAAGGTTGAGAACCACTGTTCTAAGACAGAGGCTGAAGGGGTGTGACACAGCCTGTGACTGGCAGAAATCCACCCACACCATGTTATTGCCAAAAAAAAAAAATTTGATTTCAAATATATATTTGTATGACAATTTAACCATTTTTCTGCCGCCCTATGGTAGAAATACTGCTACAGGGCTGCAGGGGTATGCAAAATCATGTACTGTATATGTATATATGTGATTTTGCATTTCCGGGTAGGGGCTGCGCGCGCCCTACCCGTTCCTTCATTATCAGCCTCACCTGTTGATCACCAGGTCCCAGCCAGTGATTCCCCTCCAGTACCCGGTGATAGCTGTGTATCGCCGATGGGGGAAAGACCTGTATGTAAACAATACAGATCTCTCCCCTGTCAGCTTCAGCATGATGCTTTGTATTGCTCTGCATAGCGGAGCAATACAAAGCAATGTGCTTACACAGTGAAAGACACACACAGCACACAGTTAACCCTTTGATCACCCCAGATGTTAACCCCTTCCTGCCCAGTGTCATTAGTACAGTGTCAGTGCTTTTTATTAGCACTGATCATTGTATTAGTGTCATTGGGATGTCAGTGACAGTTAGTCAGTTCCCCCCTCAGTGTCAGAATGCCCGCCACAGTTCTACTATAAGTTGCTGATCGACGCCATTACTAGTATAAAAAAGAAAACAAAAAATCCAGTATCTATGCCACCATTTGTAAATGCTATAACTTTCATGTAAACCAATTAATTTACACGCATTGGAGTTTTCTTTTAGCAAAGACATGGAGCAGAATACATTTTGGCCAAATTTTATGATGAAATTTGATTTTGAAATTTTTTTTACTGGACATGTTTAATAGCAAAAAGTCAAAAATATTGTTCTTTTCTCAAAATTGTCGGTCTTTTTTTTTGTTATAGCACACAAAATAAGAAATGCACAGTCGATCAAATACCACCAAAAGAAAGCTCTATTTTTGGGAAAAAAATAAAATAAAAATAAATGTCTTTTGGGTGCAGCGTTGCACCGCGCAATTCTCAGTTAAAGTAACGCAGCGCCATATCGCAAAAAAATGGCCTGGTCAGGAAGGGGGATAAATCCTCTGGAGGGCAAGTGGTTAAAACAGTTTATTGATATTAACCATTTGCTGCCCGCCCTATGGCCAAATGGCGGGCGGCAAATGTCATCAGTGTTCCGGGTGGATGCCATATGGCGTCCTCCCGCACATGTGCAGATTGCGCTCCTGCAGAGCGGCGCAGCGACGCGATCTGTCACTGGCCGTGTACCTCGGACACGGCCGATGACAGATCTGAGTATCGGCCCTGTTGCCGGTACCATGTGACCTGCTGTGACCAATCACAGCAGGTCACATGACAGTTGTATACAATGGATGGCTTCATTCATGCCATCCATTGTATACTAGTGTCTAGCTGTGAATGGTCACAGCTAATCACATGCACATGTCATGTGATTAGCTGTGGCCAAATCACAGCTAAGCACAAAAAAAAAAAAAAAAACCTGAATGAATCGATGTCATTCAGGTAAATGCTTGCTTATAGCAAAGTAATTCTTTGCTATAAGCAAATTGTGTAAAAAAAAAAAAAAAAATTGATCACTTCCCCAAAGTAGTACAATGTTACTATAACATTGTACTACTTTGGACATAGTGAAATATGAAAAAAAATCTCAAAAAAAAAAAAAAAATTTAATAAAAAATAATTTAAAAATTAAAAAAAAATACATTTTTTTTTTTTTCATACTGTCACCAGTCAGTGTCCCTGATCACCGCCATGCCAGTTATATGATGACGCTGAACTGCACTGGTGACAATATGTATTTTTTAAATTTTTTTCATTTTCCGAAAAATTATGACAAAAAAAAATACAACTTCAAAAAACTCGCCATGCCTCTTATGAAGTACGTCGGACTGTCTACTCTGCAAAAAGGGGTCATTTGGGGATATCTGTACTGTTCTGACATTCTTGGACCTCAAGAAATTAGATTGGCTGTCAGTACTTCAGGATTGATCAATATTCAGATCTATACCATAGTTTGTGAACTCTATAACTTTCCTACAAACTAAAAAATACATCCTAATTTGGGTTATTTTCACCAAAGACATGTAGCAGAATACATCTCGGCCTAAATTTATGAAGAACAATGATTTATTTGCAAACTTTTATAACAGAAACAAAGAAAAACTTTTGTTTTTTCAAAATTTTTGGTCTTTTTTTGTTAATTTAGCAAAAAATAAAAACCCCAGCGGCGATTAAATACCACCAAAAGAAAGCTCTAGTTGTGTGAAGAAAATGATAAAACTTTAGTTTGGGTACAATGTTGTATGACCGCGCAATTGTCATTCAAAGTGTGAGAGCGCTGAAACCTGAAAACTGGCCTGGGCAGGAAGGGGTAAAATTGCCCGGTATTGAAATGGTTAATTAAACCTTTTTTACTCTGTATTCCATGGGCCTAGTGCTTTACTTTTAAAAACGAGATTTATTGATAAAAAGTAAAATACTCACAAAGGAATAAAATCAAATGATGGGCATGTCACAAGAAATGCAGCCTGTTCTAATCACCCTGAAGGATGTCTGGTGGGGGACTGTAGACCTCTAGGTGGCTGTTGGTTGACGCATTTTGAGGCTGTGCCCAGGGGCGGACTGACAACTCATGGGGCCCCCTGGGTAATAGGGGATCATGGGGCCCCTGTGTCCTTGCCCAAACTCAAAAAAGCCTATGAAAAAGGTACCAGGGGCATCTCATGGTGCCC